AAAAAAAAAAAAAAAAAAAAAATTTAAAAAAATCTTACAATAACTAATCAGAAACAGTGACTTATAACTGTTGTATAGATCATTGGGAATGTCGAAGAAGCAAAGAACGTGGAGAAATTGATCTGAATTGCACTACGGTGGCACCATTCTGCTTGGAAAGCTGCAAAGAGGTATTTTTTTCTTTCTTGACCTGTCAATCTTGCTGGGATTCAAATTTTAGCACTTCCATTCAGTATTATAGGATTTTTGAATAACATGGTTGATAAATTGAGATGTTATTTGCTAAATTTTGGGAAGGTACATTACAAGTTATCAAAAGTCTTGGTTGGGAAGAAAAATGAGCTGAAGGAAGGTTATTCTTGGACTCTACTGCATCTAGTGGGTGATGGATCTGGCGTATATATTGATGACGTCTCTGGTGTGTATATTGATGATGAATACCGAAGAACAATGTGCCACTCTAAACTGGCAGTTGCAAGGAGACTGATGGAGGAGTGTTTTGAGCCAATCCGGGATAGGCACACAAGAATTAAAGTGATTCCAAGTGTTGTTTACAATTGTCGGTTAGTGATCTCAATATTTTTTCGAGAAATGAATGATTATTTTTTTATCCAATTTCAATCGTAATACTCTTTTCATGTTTTTTCTTTAGTACTAAAACACTTTTTTTGCAGATCAAATTTTAATCGGATCCATTTTGGAGGCTTCTACACTGCTGTTTTGGAGAAGGAAGATGAAATTATCTCTGTTGCATCCCTTAGGTATCAAATTCATGTATGCATATGCACATATACGATAAATTGTACTATGCAAGCCGATCTTTGATATTTAATTTCTCTGGTCGTAGGATTCATGGATCAAAGCTTGCTGAAATGCCCTTTGTTGCAACAAGTGATGTGTACAGATGCAAAGGAATGTGCAGAAAACTTATAGATGGAATAGAATCAGTAAGTTCAATAATTCATTCACACATATATTTCACTTTGCAGGCTAGTATTCGACATTTGTACTTTTGCAGGCTCTTCGCTACCTTAATGTTGAAAATCTGATAATTCCATCAATAGAGGAGAGAGTAAGAAACTGGTGTGAAAGATATGGTTTTGGTCGTCTGGAGGAATCAATGAAGCAAGAAATAATGGGCTGGAACACTTTGATGTTCCATGATTCCATCAGATTGCAAAAGCCATTGTTGTGGTCCTCTCACTTTGCAGAATCACACAGAGAACACAATGAATGTTCTCCCTCTCTCCCGACTAAACTTGAGCGTAATAATATATGTTCTTTTTGATTTGTTTCAACTTTGTTTTCCTTGTACAGTTGCTACTTCTGCTGCGATACCAGTAAATCAGCAGTGTCAGCATTCCCAGATTTAAATCTTGAACCATCTGAGTAGGGAGTTGAATCATACAAATTGTGTTGTATGTCTACACATGTTATGTTTAGGAAGATTTGCCTCAGATTTGTTGAACCAAATTAATTCATGTACTTACTGGTTTTTGGAATTGACGGCAGTCTGACAACTTGAGTCAAGCTTTTATATCCATGTGCTATGTTTTATTTGACAACATCAGATTCATTCTTAAATTTTTTTTATTTTTTTTGGCCAATTCTCTTTGAGACAATCTTATATACTCAATATACGCTCCTCAAACTTTCTTTATCTTAAATTGTTTACATGGTTATAGATGATTTACTTCTTTATTAGTGTTTCAAGAGGAATAATCGAAATAAAGATTATTTGAATCCTATTCATTGCAATTCTCACTCCGTACTGGAGGATGAACATACTCAAAATCAATGGTTTTTATTCTTTTGTATCATTCGTCACATTCACAGATTCTTATTAAAATTATTTATGTTAGGGGATTCTTGGAATTCAATTCATTGAAAAAGCATGCAGAAACTTTTTGGATGCGTAAGCAATTTCTCTCCTTAATACTACTACACTTTTCTCCCTTGCGCCCATGGGAAATTTCCACATACACCCACCACAAACTAGAGAATTTGCTGATTAAATAGGAAAGACATGTCTTGCACATGTCAAAGGAAGCTGATAGAAAAATGGCTGTCACCATCAACTACAACAGCAGATCAATGAATCTACAGCAGTAAACTTACAATTTATGGAAAGGTCATATCTCTTAACAGACATGAAATAAGTCATGTACTGTCCGAGATGATTATGAAGCCAATTAGTTTAGTAGCAGAATTAAGAGGACAATCAAGGAGACAAATTTGATTTTGAGGGATAGTCTTAATTTTGTTTTATTAATGGATAAAAACAAAAGGGTTGTCAGTTTTCACCCCTTTGAATGTATCGAACTCAAGGGACTTTGGCTTCGCTGTACATGTTTATGATGGAATTAGTGGTTATAAAAATACTACTGGCCTTTGAATCTATTACAAGTATTCTAAGACTTCATGACCAATTGTGGATTATGAAGATGGACTCGGCAAACAACCAGACATATTCATAGTATCTTTGTCCATATTCAAGCTCAATGACTTAGCCTTATTGGTGTAGAGCATTTTCACATTGGATCTTTGCTCATTCAGCAACTTCCACAGGCTTCTCTTGGCATTGGCTCGAAATGGGCAATTAGATGCCATGAACCCGTCCACTAAGTGCAGGTATGCTTCGAGGTCATGGCAACATGCTACATCCGCATTGGGCTTCAAAAAAGGAGACATTTTGGTATCCACTTTTAATTCAGTTCCAACGTGTGCATATGCCCATGGCATACTATTGTCTAACACGTTAAGCACAGCTGATGCTCCCGAACCTCTCAATTGTTTGTCGAGCTCTTCGCTCACAAACATGCCTGGCACCCGAGTGATTATGTCTTGTGAATTAACAATTCGTAAAACCTTCACGTTTTTGGCATTTAGACGGTTTGCAAAACCTCGGTTCCCAACTCGAGGACCTCCAAAGGAGAAGACAGACACCGGTGGCATATTGATTGAACATGTACTCAATTCATCCCCCACCAACAAAGCTAAGGCGGCCCCAAGGCTGTGCCCCGTGATGGTGATGCTTAGTGTCTCACCTTTATACTTCTCGAGTAATCTTTGAACTTCTTCGACCACTGATTGGGCTAAGCTTTCCACGTGAGCTCCACGTGTCTTGAACAGACTCAAAAATCCACATTCTACTTTGGATTGGGCTTCGGTGTCATCTTTTTCTTCCGACATCGGAACAAGTAGATTCCTAAAGTTTTCTCCCCACTCGAGACATGTAGCCGTACCACGTAAAGCTATCACGATGTCCCTCCTTCCCATCCTCTGAATTTCTCTCCTGTCATCGCACACTGCCACGTATCCTATCCAACTGGATCGTTGCGTCATCCATCCAAGATCTGGTGCCACATCATCCACCCATTTAGGCAACCCAATAGATGACGTGGCGTAAAGGCTCTTTGTCACCTTATAGGACTTATCAGGAAGCACCACGTGCCGCGGCCATGGCGTCTCGTCTGCTGAAGTGGCAGGATCGGAATGAAAACAATGATAAGCCGCCTGAATAAACTCCCCATACCGTACGACCTCTCGCCTGAGATTCTCGTCGAGTGGGTCCAATAGACCGGCCCAGTCACGACTTCCATGATACTCGCGCCACCGGCTACCGAGATTGTTCCTCGGAGAATATTCCGCCGACTTCGACAACAGCCTCTGCAGCCTATTTAAATGGCGCGGCGACATTTCCTCGACGGCTTTCATCTCCGGCCAAACTCTGGCCAAGTTCAATCCTTCTAACAGCCCTTTTGCTTTGTTTTCCAACGACGGAACAGAACCGGATTCTTTCTGAACCGGTTCTTGATCAGGAGGCTGCTTTTGCAGCAGTTTTTCAAGGTTGGACAGATGCTTCTTTGTCTCCTCAGTTGAAGTTACAGGATTTGCATTTTGTGCTTGAACTTGAGGCCTATTCAATGGGTTCAATGGTGAACCTGAACACTTGAAACTGGCACGTCTCGCCTGAAAAAGGTGGAGATTGTTCGCCGGAAGTGTTGAGCCAATCTGCATCATCTTTGTTTTATATCAGAAATTGGAAACTGATATTCGAAAGAAACGACTACTTAATTACAGAAGTTGTTATGGATGGGGGTGGCAAAGTTCAAGAAACAGCTGTGAGTTGAGACCAAATGGGACTGAAAGGATTAATGGCTGCTTATATAGAGCAATTTCTAATTAAATGCCCTCGATTCTTCCGCTATTTACATGGGAACCATGCTTTTTTTTCAATTGGTTGCATGGACATTTTGGGGTTGTATAGGGATATTTGTGTGAAACAGCTAGGAAATGGACCTCCTCCCTGCTGGTTGAATTGTTGTCCGAAAAGTCTGCTGAATTTGTGTATTTGACCAAAATGTCCCTATTTAACTATCTCTTCTCAATAGTTTTATTCAATTCAAATGTCAAATGCATCCTTTCTTGTACAACAAAAAAAACAGGTTTGATAAAACATTTGAATTCTTCTGGACTTTTCAGATTAGATTAGAGACATGTTAACGTCAGTCACAACATTAATTCATTGAAATTAAATTTTCTTTATTTTTATCGAGAATGAGAGTTTTGTGTTAAAACACGAGTCGTATCAAGAATAGTATTCAATATTTTCTCTCAAGATAATATCTTATTTAAGAACGTCGATCTTGAAATTTAATTACCTGTTTTAACTTTAAACGAATCAAATTGCTCTTTTAAACTTGTTATTCTAATACCATAATTTTTGAGTTCCATCTGTAAATATCCATTGTACGTGTGTTAATTTCTTTTGACTCATCTTGCTACCTTCCTCGCAAACACAAAAAAGTTAGAAAATATATCAAAAGCTTGATGCAATGAAGAAAGTTCTCTATCAACAATTTCCACTAGGTTTTTTATTTTGAACAAAACATTGAATGCTTTATGTAATATACTACTTTTTGCTCAAAGCTAAGCATTTGGTCATTATTTTAGGCAAATTATGAAGTAGAAGTTTGAATTTTCAATTCTTTAAATTTAAGAAGGAAAATCTAGTCAACTTCTTCAAGATATCAACTTGATCTTTTGCAGTTAGCTAAAAATGCATTAATTTCTTTGCAAAATCTATCTTCTCACTTGTTTTTCTTGACGTGAATATGTTGCTTTACTCTTTAATTTACAAACATTTTGTGACAAAGAAGTGCTATATAGTTTATGCCATTATAACAAATTTAGCAATCGCGTTAAAAATATAGAAAGAGTTTCTAACAAGGATCGTGTTTATGGTATTATTTTATTGCAACAAGTCGTCAATTCAACTTATAAAAAGAGTTATTGACACAAATCTTAAATAAAGTGAATATAAAGAGATAAATACAGACTCTTATGAATGAACAAATAGTTGCGTGAAGAGCTTAAAGACAGAATAAGCCATAGTGTAGCCCGATTCAATGCAATTTCTAGCATTTGTGTCAAATTACTTTAATTTTTATATTATGGATATATGCGAAAAATATATTTCTTTTTTTTTTTAGCGCATGTATTGTCGAAGCATTATCATGTATTTATTTTTGGGTGCATCATAAAAAATTAAAATTGTTCACTCATCGTTGAATTTTGATGGCAGGTATTTTACTATTTCATTGAAGTTATCAATAAATAATAAATATAACTTGATTAACAAGTTAATGATGTCAATTAGTGAGATAAATGTGATTACCAACTAATCTTGCCATTGATAAATGAACTTTTACTAATTAGAATTTTTGGAGAATCTGTCATTATCCACTTTTTTCTTATAAAATTGTATTATTCAAAATTACTTGGTGCATCTAATATTTTTATAAACACACTTTTCTGTTCAAAGTTCTCTGCGCGGCTCTTTTTAGAACAAAATCTTTATAAAAAATTTCCATCCAATTGCTTTAAACAGTCATCTTACGAATATATCAATCTGAATAAAAAAAAGTTATGCTTAAGAAACGGATAAATGAAAAATCGAGGGCAGACAATTCTTTTTCTGTCCCTACTTGTTATTATTAATATCCAAATGTTGTCGAGTTTCAACCATTTAAATATAATATATTGCTATTCTACCTAAAATTCAACCCAGGAAGCAAATCAAAGTAGCTTGGTTTTACTCTTGATACCGTGTATTCACTTTGGTCTAACTTTGACAATAAAATACTAATCAACTATCTTTTTTAATAAATGATTAATTTATTTCTATCTCGTCTCATATTGAAAATTTTGATGAAACTATACTATCTTTAAGATGGATATGGTATGGTGTGATCTGATTTCATCAAAGAGAATTGAAATAAAAAAAAATTACGCGTAGAAACCAACAATTTCTTTTCTAGTGATGAAATCAAGTCGAACTAATTTTTAATCTTTGACTATGTAGTTAAAACTAAGAACGGATTTGGTCTAATTTTAATTGAATGCATTTGGTTCGATTCTAACTTATTCAAGTGATTCAAGGGGGGGGGGGGAAATAGACAACGATTAAAAGTCAATGAACGAAAGTCCTCAAAAATCTTTTCACTGACATCCTTGAGCCACAAAGTCTCACCTAATTGTAGACGCGAGAATGGTTGCCAAGAAAAATGAAAATTGTAGGATCAATTCATAGTCAATTGAGCTCAGTCGAAATCACACCAAATTCAATTGTCGGTAATGGCAAGCATTTCGACACCAAATTCAACTGTCGGTAATGACAAGCAATTCATTTTAGTGCTAATGAAAAATGATGAGAATGAAGACTCGAACTAATTGGGTACCACGTAAGATTGAGGAGGACTTGTGTGTGGGGATAACAAATCGACTAAGATCATATCTCATTAGGCTTTTGCACTTTTTTTTTATGAGATGTGACAAACAAATTAATATCTTACGTTAATATATATTAAATAATTCCATTCATGAAACTATTTAGCAATATTTATTCCGATAATGTGCGCAAGGTTGGTCTCAAGCCACGATATTGGAGAACAAGAAGGATAGTGCACATCTACATTCGTCCTTACAATTATGTTACTCCAAAAGGTAGTAATTGTAAATTAATCCTTACATTAATCGTGAATTATGCATATGTTATTGCTTTATTTCTATTGATTTTGTGATAGTGCGCCAATAACTTAAATGATGGAGAAATTTACAATGCAATCCACTATTAGTGCCCAATATCACCACATGCCAAACACGTTTTCTCTCCCCTTAAACAAGAGGCAAAAATGACAATATAGGAGCTCGCGTAAGGGTGTTACACGTGACGAATGGAGTAGCCCGATTCATCTTTTCCAGCAAGTTGACTCCTCACCCCACGAGCTTGCCTCTTGCTATGGCAAGTCAAACCATTCGCGGTTCCCCTTTTTTTTTTTTTTGGATCAAAAATTACATTTTGTAGTTCACATGTGAGCTGCTCACAAGATT